ATTGATGAACTTATTTGTCTTATTATTTCTTTATTTAATTTTATCTCATCAAATGATATCCGTATAGTGGATTTTGTAAGTAGTAAACAAGGCAGTTCTTGTTTCACATTTTAATCTCGTAGGAATTGCGCTAACAATTTCCGATCAAACTGAAACTTGCAGAAGATCTCAAGATATTTTCCACTTCATCGAAAACACCGAACTATTACATTTTCATGCGAGACATGGTTAAAGTGATGCCGCAAATGCTCAAAAGCATGGAGATGACGAACTGACACTTTGGATTTTGGAGGCTTGCCAAAACGGGCTTCCGTCTCCAATCATAAAAAATATAAGGCAAAACTGTTAAGAGCATAACGAAGCTCGATCCTCTCATGGACGCTTTCTTGGGAGTTAAAAAACTTGTAAGCCATTCAGGTATCTGTAAGTGTGTTTCTCATTCAGCATCTTATTCTTATCTCAAACACGTCGTCTTTCGATGTTTGCAAACAAGCTTTGATGGTCCTTTGTTTTACACCTGTCCGTTATCAGTTTATATTTATTGTCGCTGAGAAGGCACATTTTAAGGTTGAATCGCGAGTAGAATAAACTCCAGTATATTTCTTCTAGCCGGTAAAATCTGTGATACGGAAACGTCAATAGCAACTCCAAACAAAAGACCACGTCGGAAACCTGTGGTAATGACGGGAAATTTTCGTTTAATTTGGTTGAATGAAAACAAGGACAACTTCAACAATTCTCTCACACAGTTGCAACGAGTTAGCAACTCAATTAATTCATTCGACGATGCTGATGAATGCATTGATTTTCTAACCTACATGACAGAAGACATTGTCTTTATGATTGTCTCGGAAACATTATACAGGGATATTATGCAAGTTCTTCAAGACATCGGCCAAATAAAATTTGTCTATATTTTCTCTGACAATCATACACAACTTCAAAACTTGAACAAAGAGTGGTCCAAAATTAAGGGTGTATACGTTGACATTACATCGCTCTGCGGCGACCTTCTTACAGCTTCTGAGATGTGCCATCGTAATACACTTTCAATTAACCTCATCGGAGAAAGTGATCGAATAGTCGATGAAAAGTTGAACACGTTGGAATGCTCTTTTATGTATACGCAAATATTGAAAGAAATCTTACTTACCATTGATTTCACACGAGAACATATTGATCAATTCGTAAAGTATTATAAAGAGCGATTTCCTAACGGTTTTATTAGCAGCCATGATGCTAAGATGCTTGAGACGGAATATTATCATAAATCGCCAATCTACTGGTATACGTCTTCCAGTCTTCTATACTCCACACTCAATAGAGCTTTACGTTTAATGGATGTTGGCCTTATTGTTAAATTAGGTTTCTTTCTTCGTGATCTCCATCAAAATATTGTTAAATTGCATATGGAACAATTTAGTGAACAAAGTCATTTGAAACCATTTACTGTGTATCTTGGTCAAGGTTTGTCTCAAACAGACTTCGAGCAGTTGAAAAATGCAACAGGTTACTTATTATCATTCAATAATTTTTTATCAACAAGTTGTGATCGAGAAGTATCCTCCATCTTTGCTGAAAGTAATGCATCAGATCCCAATCATATTGGTGTTCTATTCCAAATATCTGTTGATCCATCGATAGCTAAAATGTTTTACGCTGATATTGAAGACGAGAGTCAATACCAAAACGAAAAAGAGATTTTGTTCTCAATGCATTCAATCTTCCGTGTTGGACAAGTGAAATAATTGAATGACAACGCACGAATTTGGCAAATAGATTTGACGCTCACAAGTGATACTGATCCACAATTGTGTCATCTGATGAACAGGATTCACGAAGAAACATCATTACACGCTAAAGGATGGTACCGACTGGGTCAGTTACTCATTAAGTTGGCACAGCTTGACAAAGCAGAAGAACTATATAGAAGTCTACTAGAACAAACTACTGATCTAGATGAAAAATCATTTTTATTGCAGCACCTTGGAATGATTAACCGTTCGCAAGGAAACTATGCAAAAGCTCTTGATTATCATAGAAAGGCGCTAGATACTCGAGAAAAAGAACTTCCAGCAAACCATCCTGACATAGCTACTTGGTGCAACAACATCGGGAGTGTATATGATTATATGAATGACTACTCTCAAGCGCTCATCTATTATGAGCAAGCACATGAAATCTACAGAAAAGTTTTTCCTACAGATCATCCGAATTTGGCTACTTCTTATAACAATATCGGTCTTATATATAAAAAGATGGATAAGTTCTCCGACGCACTTACATATTATGAAAGATCAGTTCAAATCAAACTGAAAACGCTTCCAAAAAATCATCCGGATTTGGCTGCTTCTTATAACAATATCGGTAGTGTATATGACAGTAAGGACGAATACTCCAAGGCACTTGAATATTATGAAAAAGCACTTGAGATTTTTCAAGAAACTCTTCCTGCAAAACATCCTCAACTGGCTGCTTCTTATTACGGCATCGCTAGTGTTTATGACAGCAACGGCGAGTACTGCAAAGCAATTGAATATTATGAAAAAGCACTAAAGATCTTTGGAAAAATTCCTCCTAGGAATCATGCCTTTTTGGCTGCTTTTTACAATAACATCGGTTATGCTTATCACAAATTAAGAATTTATTCTAGAGCACTTGATTATTATGAAAAGGATCTTGAAATCGCGAAAAAAACACTTTCTACAACTGATCTTGATTTATCCACCGCCTACTACAATATTGGGCAATTTTATACGGATATGGATGAGTATGAAAAGGCGCTGGAATATTATGAACATGCTTTAGATATCAAACAACGTTCATTATCTCTTGTCGACCCAAGTATCGAAGCTTTGAAAGAAAGCATTGAATTTCTAAGAAAGAAATTATAGCTTATGTTTTTTAAATGTCGTTGCCAAAATAAAGATGCCATGAAAGTGAAGAATATCGATAGGATTGTACGAAAATCTGTACGCGTCAAGAGGAAACATTATTTTTCCTTATTATTCAATACCCAAGTAATGCATTATACCTCGTCTAACTATGTTAAGCCTCTCGCGCACACGTACACGATACGCATCTTGGGTGTATGTGAGGGTGTGGGTGCAACCTACAACGGCACAGCCAGGGCCAATGTGAACGGCATTCGTTACCGTTAGTTGCTGATAACTGATAGTCTTATAATTAATAAATGATTATGTAGCATTTAACAGCCATATGCCCATTACTTGAGAGTCGGTTGATTGATAATAAGTAATTGCTTGGTAAATATCTAATTAACTGTTACATAATAGTTAATAATTAGTCTTTCAACGATTTCTACACTACTCATCTGTAGCGGTCAGTGTATATCTATAGTTCACTTATGCGATCTGTTCATAGATATTGACCTTGCCCTCTCTTTGTTATGTCATGCGCGATGTTTCCTATATAAGTTGTGTTCAATAAAGAAACGACACGATTATGAGTGTGTAGATGACACAACACATCATCATGTCGAAGGACATAGGCAATCACTCTCATAATTTGTCACAATATCAAGATGCAGAGCACTACAAAGTCCTTTTTTTTTATTAACTTTTGCTTTTTATTAAAGATTCAAACATTTATATAATTATGCACTCACTTTTTCGCTCGTATAACTTATAATGCCTTTTTCTGATAAGAAAGTAAGTTAACTAATTAAAAAAGAACTTTGCAGTGCCCTGCATTTTGAAATGCTCTTTCCAGCAAAAAAAAGAAAAGAAAAACGTCTACCATGGCTCCGAACTGAGAAATCTTGAAAATAAAACGACCTGCTTTTTAGCCTTGTTTGTTCGATATTTCTGGAAAGGAATGTAATATCGAGCTGAAATTTTTACCTCAGACTCCGCTCTTCAGCTGTAACATATGCTCAAAGTTTCAGCCGATTTGAACTTTCCTAAGCCGGGCTCAGTTTTTGAGGGGAACGAAGAGGCTTAAGTGAAATTGATGTTATTTCAAATAGAAATAAGTTTCGTATTTTCTTTTATATAATTTTCTTCAATCAATATTATTTTAATAATAATCCTAGCAGCCACTAATTTGAATGATATCAAATATTCTATCTGTCGCTTGAGTTAGAGATGTCTCTGAAAGTCCGAGAAATACCATCACAATACTCATTTCTAGTGTATAATAGAAATTTCTTCAAATTCATTTTAGTCCTAAACTGAGATTAAAAATCTGAATTCTACGAAAACAAATATTTCTTATATAAGAAAAGAAAAGAATAGCTCAGCATATACAAAAATTCTCGACGATCATAAGAACTTTTTTGGTTTTCTTTTTTCCTCTGTCTTTCTTATTTATTACTTGGGTTAACAACATAATGTAAAGCATAATCTGAAACTCTCAAAAATATACATTACTGATATTACTTCTTCGTTCTATCCCAAACAAATATTTCTTTTTAATAATGATAAGAGAAAAAATAGTTGATGCATGACGAAAATCGCGATGCATTAATACTTCAGCAATATTTTTGTTTGCATATGGCAGATGAACAGATGTAAACAGAACATTATTTATGTCTGACGTATGAATGATATATTTTATGGCGTATGTATGCTCTTTTGCTTTTGTGCGCCATTGTATTTTAATATCGGGAAAGTAATTAAATGAGAGTTAACAGTGACAACTTCTTTTCTTTATTGTATTGCCAGATTGAATGTATGTTATTTCTTCTTACCGAGATGATGTAGAGAAACGACGAGTTTATTCGACTATATAAAATGTTTTCTTTTTGAAAGAAAAAGAATGCAAGTTCAACTGCAAAATCTTTATATTATTTATTTTCCAGATGTTGCTACGTGAAATTATTGCAATATGGTTCATTTTCTCAACTATTGAACAAGTTTCAAGTAAGATTTTCTGATATCTCTACACACAAATGTTAATTACAACTATTTTTTTCTATTAGATATCTCATATAATCAACCAAAGTTATGTGCAAATGCAACATGGAACTCAACAGCGATAACATTTGCTACTAATGCAATTGTCGGTTCAAATCCTTATGCTGTTTTTGTCAATACAAAAAATACAATTTATGCAGCTGATCGACAAAATTCTCGTATACAAGTGTGGACAAATGGAAATAATACACTTACCTATACTCTATCGGGTGGTTTAAATCTTCCTTATAGTATATTTGTTAATGATAATGATGAGGTTTTTATTGATAATGGTAATTCATATTATCAAGTTAATAAATGGATATCAAATTATACAAATAGTAGTGTTCCAGTAATGTATATGTGTGATCAATGTTATGGTCTTTTTATTGATATTAATAATAATCTTTATTGTTCAATGAATACTTATGATCAAGTTATATCAAAATCATTAACACAACGTTTAACTATATGGAATATTGTTGCTGGAACAGGTACTGCTGGATCAGCATCAACTACACTCAATAATCCTTGGGGGCTTTATGTTGATACAAATTTAAATTTGTATGTAGCTGATAGTGGAAATAATCGAATTCAAAAATTTTTATCAGGACAATTAAATGGAATAACAATATCAACAGGAAGTTTAACACTCTCAAAACCAACTTCAATTGCATTTGATGCTGATGGATATCTTTATATTGTCGATAGTAGCAATAGTCGTATTATTGGTTCGGGTCCAAATGGTTTTCAATGTGTAGTTGCATGTTCGGGATCAGCTGGTTCAGCAGCTAATCAATTAAATAATCCATATACTCTTAGTTTTGATACTTATGGAAATATATTTGTTATGGATCAAAGTAATAGTCGACTTCAAAAATTCTTTCTTTTATCAAGTTCATGCAGTAAGTAGATCAAAGAATTCGATTCATTTATATTAAATTCGGTTTCTTCTAGATGTAACAACAACAATCGGTATGTTTAATTTATTTTAAAAAATCTTCTTTTTCTTTCATTTAAACTATTGTTTCTTCTATAAAAGCGACAGCGACAATAAGCAGTACCCCATCATCAATAACTTATTCGAATGGTAAATCAATATATGATGTGTATAAGTTAAAATTTGATGTTACCTTTCAGGTATATCATTCAATCAACCAAAGTTCGGTATTTATCCTACTTGGAACGGAATTGGAATTACTTTTGCAAATAGTACAACAGTAGGAACGAGTCCATATGGAATTTTTGTAAATATTAACAATACACTTTATGTTGCTAATCAAGCAAATAGTCGAATTTATATCTGGTCTTCAGGAAATAGTACACCTACAGAAAATATTACACGCGGAATATATTCTCCGTATAGTCTTTTTGTAACATTAAATGGTGATATTTATGTTGATAATGGAGGTACAAATAATCGAGTCGATAAATGGTCATTAAATTCGAATAGTAGCACATCAGTGATGTATGTCAAATCTACATGTTATGATCTATTTATTGATATTAATAATAATCTTTATTGTTCAATAAATTCTAAACACCAAGTTGTTATGAAGTCTTTAAATGGAAATTCAAGTTTATGGACTGTTATTGCTGGTACGGATTGTTATGGATCAACTTCAAATCAACTTTATAATCCTCGTGGAATTTTTGTTGATACAAATCTGAACTTATATGTAGCTGATTGTACTAATGATCGTGTTCAACTTTTCCAATCTGGACAAGCAACAGCAACAACAATACCAATAATTGTAACTTCAGGAGTACTTACACTTGATTGTCCAACTGATGTAACACTTGACGCCGATGGAAATCTTTTTATTGTTGATAGTCTTAATAATCGTATTATTGGATCAGATCACAATGGTTTTCGATGTATCATTTCATGTTCAACTATTGGTGGTTCAACAGCAACACAATTGAGTAATCCATCGACATTTAGTTTTGATACTTATGGAAATATTTATGTTACTGATCAAGGAAATAGTCGAGTACAAAAGTTTATGTTGATCAATGATAATAATACTTATCGTAAGTCTTTTCCGTCGAAAAGAAATTCATTATTGATTCTTTTTTATCTTGGTAGCTCTTTCATTGAATCTACCAAATTTTTGTCCATCTACAACTTGGTATCCCAATGCAATTACATTTGCTGATAGTACCATAGCTGGTTCAAATATTTATGCTATTTATGTTAGTCTCAACAATACGATTTATATCGCTAACAGAGCCCAAAGTGTAATTTACGTATATCGTGAAGGAGCTAATTCTCCGACTAGAAATATATCAGGTGGTTTCAGTACTCCACTGGGTCTTTATGTATCAGTACATGGTGATGTATACATTGATAACTATGTTGGTAATAATCAAATTACTAAATGGTCAATTGATACGAATAATAACACTAATACTATGATAATTACGCAACAATGTGAAGGATTTTTTGTCGATACTACGAATACTATGTACTGTGCACTGCCTTGGAGTCATCAAGTTGTTAAGAAATGGCTCAATGATAGTGGAACTGCAGCTACTGTTGTAGCCGGTACAGGTAGTGCTGGAGGATCATCGACTCAACTTTATTGGCCTAGTGGAATCTATGTTGATTCTCAATTTAATCTCTATGTTGCAGATGAAGCCAATAATAGAATCCAACTTTTCCCGCCGGGACAAACAATTGGAATAACTCAAATAATAAATGGTGTATCCGGTATCATAACACTTTATTATCCACATGCAATTACCTTTGATGGTAATGGGTATATGTTTATTCTCGAAACAGGTAACAATCGCATCATAGGAAATGGGCCATATGGTTTTCGATGTGTCATCGCTTGTTCTGGTAGTAGCGGTTCGAATGCAAACCAATTAAATTATCCACGAACTTTTGGTTTTGATAGTTATGGAAATATGTATGTGAGTGATCAAAATAATGCTCGCGTTCAAAAATTTTCGATTGCATCAAATTCATGCGGTATGATCGTCTTCGTCTTTTTGTTTCTCTACTTCAAATGTTATTGATTTATTTTAGCTTTATCATATAATCAACCAGCATTTTGTTCAATTGCAACATGGACAACAAATGCAATAACTTTTGCATCAAGTGGTACAATTGGTGCGATTCCTAATGGTATTTTTATTGATGGAATTAATAATATTTATATTATTAATCGAGCTAGTAATACGATTTTGAAATGGTTTCAGTGGAGTAGTTCAGCAACAACTCTAAATTATATTAATGTAACGAATCCAGCGAGTGTATTTGTATCGATATCTGGTGAGATTTACGTTGATAATGGTTATTTATACGGTCGAGTTGATAAATATTTGTTTAATTCATCAAGTTTCATTACTGTTATGAACTTTAATGGTAGTTGTATTGATCTTTTTATTGATTCCAATAATACTCTTTATTGTTGTGTTCAAAATCAACATGAAGTTGTTAAAATTTCGCTTAATAAAAGTATAACTATTCCAATAGTTGCAGCTGGAAATGGAACTGCTGGATCATTATCAACTATGCTTAATTCTCCTCAAGGCATTTATGTTGATAGTAGTTTAAATTTATATATTGCTGATTCTGCGAATAATCGTGTGCAAATGTTTGGTGCCGGTCAAGTCAATGGAATTACACTTGTTGGAAATGGATCATCAACCAGTTTTACTCTAAATTATCCAACTGATGTTGTACTAGATTCAAATGGTTACTTATTCATTGTTGATAGTTATAATCATCGTATTGTTGGTTCAAGTTCGTCTGGTTATCGATGTGTAGCAGCATGTTCAGGAAGTAGTGGTTCAGCTTCGAATCAATTATACTTTCCGCGAAGTATGGCTTTTGACAGTTATGGAAATATTTATGTTATTGATCGAAATAATAGTCGAGTGCAACAATTTACTTTTCAAGGCAATAATTGCAGTAAGTCATCTATATCTACAGAAAACTCTTAGAATAATTAGAAGTTTTGTAACATGATTTCATATTATGTTAATTTTCAATTTCAACCAAAAGATTTCTAATCGTTGTAGATGTCAAGTAAGTTCAGAAAGCTAGACGGCGGAACGGCAAAGATATACATATCAAAGACATCGGACCTTGTATAGGTCACATAGAAAACGATGCATAAAAAGTAGAGTTACTCATAACAACGTAACATCTGTCCGTGTCAACGTATTACAACATATTTACTAAAAATTTACTTTATTATAATTGTCAATAGAGGAATGTTTTATGTTTCAGCTACATTGAACACTGTCACCAGTACCACTAGCACTACTTCAAGTAGCTCTACGACAAGCAGTACCAGCACGAGTAGCACTACGACAAGCAGTACCAGCACAAGTAGCTCCACGACAAGCAGTACCAGCACAAGTAGCACTACAACAAGCAGTACCAGCACGAGTAGCACTACGACAAGCAGTACCAGCACAAGTAGCACTACAACAAGCAGTACCAGCACGAGTAGCACTAGCAGTAGCACCTGGAGCATCACCACGAGCAGCAGCAATAGTACAAGTACAAGTGGTACCTCAAGTACCGAGACAAGTACTAGCCTAAGTAGTACAAGCATTAGTTCATCAAGCACTATTACGAGTACAAGTAGTGCCAGCAGTAGCACCTCAAGCAGCAGTACTAGTACTACGAGCAGTACCACCTCGAGCTCTACAATTAATACAAGTAGCTCGAGTACCAGTACTACTAGCAGTAGCACTACCTCAAGCACTACTATAACAACTACAACAGGTATGTTCACTAAGATAATTTCTATTGATCAGCAAAATACAACGGTGATAACAACTCCACAGATAAACAGCAATCAAAGTAACATATATGCGAAGAAATACAACTGATGATGTATTTCTTTGATTTAGCATGTTATCCACCCTCAATCATATTAATACCTGGTGGATCATCTTTATTATCTCCAATATCATATCGACGAAGTCAAGATTTTTCAATAAGTTCAATGATTGAATTTCATTGTGGTGGTTCACTTTCGAAAACTACAAAATGGACAGTGAAAAATTGTAGTACAACAATTTGCTCATTTAATATTTTCTTCTCCAACACGGTGAAGACAACGTATAGTGAACTTTATGTTCCATCACGAACTCTTGATTATGGCGTGTATGAATTAACATTAACTGTAACATTGAATAATTCGTCAAAATTGAAATCTTCTTCATCAGCATATGTTCGAATAACAAAAACAGACATAACACCAAATCCTGTTCAATTGGGAACGTCAATGATAACACGAGGTGAAAATCAAGATCTTTTCCTTGATCCTGGTTCATTTTCAATTGATCCTGATCAATATTCATTTGATGCCAGTGTAAATCAATCTTTGAAAACGATATTGATTTTCAAATCAAATATGTTTTCTTTTGTATAATTTCAGAAATGGAAATATAAATACTATTGTCGAATTTACAATCAATATAATTTTCCAAATTTTTATGGAATTTTATTAACAATTGATGATCCAACAATCGATCCAAATAATCCATCATGTGTAACAAATCGAACAGGATTAATCTTTGGAAATTCGACATTATCACCGAATTCATCATTAACAATTCTTGCTGGTTCTCTTCAATCAAATCAAATGTATCAATTTATGGTTTATATGGAAAATAAAAAGAATTCATCAATTCAAGCAACTGGTTTTGTTCTTGTTACAGTTGTCGTTACTCTTCCAAAATTAATTATTATCGGGTAAATGATTGATCAAATAATTTGACAAATGAAAAAGAACAACCAAAGATTTGTTTAATTTGTAGTTGTGTCATTGCACCAATGTGTATTCCAAATCTTGAACTTCAACTTCTTAATCCAACAACACAAGTTGCTCTCTATACTTATTGCGTTGGATTATGTGAAGATCTGCAAAGTATTCATTGGAATATTTATCGAGGAATTGATAATTCAACATATTCAAATGGAACATCATGGATTTTATTTGATCAAATGAATTTCTATGAAAATATTTGGTTTTTTGGTCAAAATACAAGTAATTTTACAGCATCAAATCAATTATTTATTGGAAATTCTCAAATAAATCTTTGGAGATTTGAAGTTATTTACACATTTTTAAACGAAACAAGTACAAGTGCATTAAATTTTGTTACAAATCAATCTCCATCAAATGGTTCATGTTCAATTAATCCATTGAATGGTACAACAACAACTGCATTCAATATTTCATGTTCAAATTGGTTTGATTCAGATGGAATTCGCGATTATACTTTATATGGTTTGTTTTCAAATTGAATTCAAATGAAAAAAAATTTCAAATCTTTTTTTTTAGTTTGGACAAAAGATATTTCTGAAAAAATAATGATTTCATATTCATCTGTTGATCATTTTCAAGTTCGATTACCAATTGGAAATGAAAATACTTCATTAATTAATCTTATTGTTTATATTCGAGATTTTCTTGGATCAATAACACAAGTCAATATTTCATCAATTGTTGTTACTTTAGATTTTCTAACAATTGATGATTTATTTAATAAAATACAAAATTCATCAAAGACAATAACAGACAATTCAATTGTTCAATTATTATCAAGTGGAAATCAAAATATTGTTTCACAAATAATTATTTTATTATCACAACAATTAAATCAAATGAATAATCATTATTTAACAAAAGCAATTTCCAATGGAATTTCATTTGTCGATATCTCAATTTCAACACTTCATTCTCCAAATTTCACCTCATCAACAACAATAATAAATGAAACAATTTCAATTGAATATAAAAATGAAATCAATTCTTTAGCAAATATTCGAGATTATTTTGTTTCATTTATCTCCGATCTTCTAATAACAACATCAAATAGTATTATTCTACAATCATCATCATTAGTTCAATTAACTCAATCAACAAATCAATTAACACGAAATCTTTTAGTAAAAATACAAATTTATATTTGATTTTGTTCATTTCGAATATTCTTTTAGACAATTGTTTCCAATCAATGTTATCAATTATCTCTTTCTTTATATTCCATAGCAAATCAAATCTCCTATGAAGATGTTCAATTAGCTGCAAATCAACTTTTTCAATGTGCATCAAATATTTTATCTGTAAAAAGAAAACATTTCTTCTTCTTCGACTCTCGGAATTGGAATTTCTAGGGTGTTAATGGATTCTTACAACGACGAACAATTCTTCTTCATTTAGATTATTCTCGTTCGAATACAATTACTTCAGATTATGATACTGATCTCGAATCTCCATGGCCAAATTTAAGTTAAAATCGTTTTTTTCGTTTATTCTTTAAATGAAAATTTTTCATTTGATTTAGATTTATTTGCGGATGAAAATGATTTTTCTGAAGAAATAATTGAGAAAAATCGAAATATTTATTATCAAAAACAATTATCAAATGAAATATCAAAACAAGTTACAGAAATGAATTCATTATTAAGTTTATCATTAAATATTCATCGAAATCTTGGTCAACAATATCTATTAAATAATTCTCAAGCATTTCTTTTCTTTGAAAAGCTTTCAAAAACATCACTTGAAAATGGAACATTTCATCAAATTGAAAATTCTCAATTCAATTTTCCATCAAATCTTCTTCTCAATTCATCATCAACAATTTCAATTCGACACTCAACGCCAATCTAAAATCCATGTTTCTCTGAGTAAATCTATTGCAAGAATTCGAACGAATACAACGATGTACTCTTTTCTTCTCGTTTTGTTCTAATCTTATGAAAATTACAGCTCGATAA